AAGAATCAATATGCTGGGACTTCAATATAAGTGGATAACCTCCAACCTTACTGCATCTGCTTTTGCTATAAAAGTCTAATTTCTTTGTGCCATCACCACCCATATAGAGAATCTGTGAAGTTCCATTTTTAATTGGTGGGATCTGTGAAGTTCCATTTTTTATTGGTAGGATCTGTGAAGTTCCTTTGTTTAATCCACTACAAATATGCCCCTGCAATGAAGTTTGAAAGGAGAAGTACATGCTACAAGGTAGATATTCATGTTTCGGAGATAGTTGTTGAAGAACTTAAAAGTTGCTAAAATGTATCCATTTAGTCACGGCTCCTAGTTGGATTTTAGTCTACTAGAGAACCTGGTTTCTTATGGCAGACTCTGATAGTTCTGAAACCAAATCCAGTTTAATAGTCCAAATTTTCTTAAAGGCACTAGAGTGCTTTTTAAACATTGGTTAGTAGCTTTGATAATGCCAGCTTGGACACCGATCTCAATAGTAAGATCCTTTTTCTTATTGTCAAAAACAGTAAGGTCTTTTAAAAGAGGAAATGTGTTATTCTTATTAATTCAATGGTATTCTTTTTATCAGTGCTCAACTTCTTTCAGTGAGAAAAAATCTCTCAATTGAATGCTTTCATGGATGGAGCAGGCACTCCTCTTTTCAGTGGAGACGCTGAAAGGGTTGCTGGCTTTTTGATAGAACCAATTCTTTTAGGTTTTTTTTCTAATATGGTCATGGAAGTCAACATTTCGAGAAGTTCCTTTATCAAAGTAAAATTTACTCCCTTTGTCCCAATTTATGTGACTTACTTTCCTTTTAAATCAGTCCCAAAAGAATGACACATTTCTATATTAAATAACAATTTAACTATAAAATGTCTAATATCTATTTTACCCTTAATGAAATGATTTATAGCCATACAAATTTTTATCATTCATTTTGGACCACAAGTTTTAAAAGTATTCCTTTCTTTCTTAAACTCCGTGCCGAGTCAAACTACCTCACATAAAATGTAATGGAGGAAGTAATGAATTTGTCATTTTGTGTATTCTTACTTGTGAAAGGTGCTCTATCACTCTTATAACATGTAAAAAGTTTAAATTAAGTTTGAACCCGTATAAAACCGCATAGACCCGCAACTTGCCCCGTATTAATTTAAAAAAAATTATTTCAACATGTCCCGCACAACCTTAAAATCACCTCACCCCACATTTAAAAGTATTCCTTTCTTTCTTAAACTCCGTGCCGAGTCAAACTACCTCACATAAAATGGGACGGAGGGAGTAATAATTATGAGAAGTTTATTGTATTTGCATGTTTATTGGAACCTAAGTTGCAGATTGATTCTTAGCGTTTTTCACTTGAGGGGAGAATGGTAGGAGCTGTTTCTTAATGCCCTTGCTTTCTATTTTGAATTGACATTTTCCCTTTAATTTGTTAATTTTTTTTTTGGGTTTTGGAGCCTGAGTAAGTACTTTCCATCTTTATCTTGATCAATCATTCTTTGAAATCAGGCAGACTTGAGCTCAAACATACTAGCTTTGTCTTGTTCTTTATATCTTGTGGAGGTGGGGGTGGGGTGCCTCTTTTCTTTTATTTCTAAGAGTGGTTTCGGTGAAGTTTTTGATTTATTTCTTGCAACTGTCACTTGACATTATTTGCTGCTTGACTTTGTAATTCTCCATTGTTTATGGACAGATGAGGAACCATCGGTGTCAGTTCCAGAGGCAAAGAAATCTTACATACCGAAAAGATTATTGATTGGGAACGATGAGTACGTATAATACTTTTGTTTTCAGTTCATTATCAATGATGTACCTAGTGCTGGTTTATCTTCAGGCATTAAGTTTGTATTGGGTTGTGGCTTTAACTGTGAATTGTGATATTCATTTACATAACTTTTTCTCAAAATCCCTTAACTTTCAGGAAGCATGAGCAGTTCATAGTTCTTGGTACTTAAGATGTTGCTTATATCTCAATCTTTTCTATTGGATTTCATATAGTCTTGAAAAGTAATAGGTATTCCAATAAAGGTGGCCAATATGAAAGAACTAAAAAAGTACTGTCTTGCTTCCAAGAGATGAATTCTTAGTACTAAGTTGTTGCTTATATCTCAATCTTTTCTATTGGATTTCATATAGTCTTGAAAAGTAATAGGTATTCCATAAAGGTGGCCAATATGAAAGAACTAAAAAAAGTACTGTCTTGCTTCCAAGAGATGAATTCTTGGTACTAAGTTGTTGCTTATATCTCAATCTTTTCTATTGGATTTCATAGTCATGAAAAATAGTAGGTATTCCAAAAAGGTGGTCAATATGAAAGAAGTAAAAAAGTACTGTCTTGCTTCCAAGAGATGAATGAAATAAGATAAATATAATTAATTCTCGTGAATATAACTTTGCCTTATAAAAAGAATAATATAATATAAAAGCTTGTAACTGCTTGTAGGTATGTACGGGTTGGCAATGGTAATAAGCTGGTTAGAAATCCAAAGAGACGAGTTCGCATCTTAGCAAGTGAGAAAGTACGCTGGAGTTTGCACACTGCTAGAATTCGGTTGGCAAGAAAGAAACAGTATTGCCAGTTTTTTACAAGGTTTGGCAAGTGTAACAAGGATAATGGAAAATGTCCTTACATTCATGATCCATCTAAAATTGCCGTCTGCTCTAAATTTCTGAATGGTTCTTGCTCTGATACTAACTGTAAATTGACTCATGAGGTATGTTACTTCTTAAACCCTATAAATGATGTAGCTGCAGCATGATTAGTTTTTGCCTTTTTTACTTGTTTTCACCTTATGTATTAGGTTATTCCTGAAAGAATGCAAGACTGCTCCTATTTTCTGCAAGGTGGGTGTTGTTATATCTGTAGGTGTTACCGTTAGTATATTTTGATTCAATTCGACCAAGAGGATGTTAGAGCACTAACTTGAATCTTTTTGGCAGGAATATGCGCAAATGAGAATTGTCCTTATAGACATGTAAATGTGAATCCAAATGCTTCTATCTGTGAAGGTTTTCTCAGGGGCTATTGTGCTGATGGCAATGAGGTATTTTTTATTTGTTTTCTGCTTCCAGATTAATCAATACCAACTATGTGATACTCAAAAGATTGAAATTCCAATTAGATAAGCTCTTTAATAGCTCACAGCTAATTTATGCCAGATGGTGTCAAGTAGAAATAGTTTTTAGTTAAAAGCTGTGTTTGGATGATCAGCAAAGAAGGTCTTCTGCAGTTTAGCTTGTTCACCCAGTTTTATGTTTGGTTGATTCCTGGTTCCTGGACAAGCTTGTCCCTACCCCAAACTTGTTAGAACTGATGAGGCTAGTCTCCGCACCTCCCCCATGAATGAACTAGTGGGGACCCTTACCTCTTTTTGTTTGTCATTTTTTGTTTTTGAAATGACTTGATATAGCTATATTTTCGACCGGTGATATTGCCAAGTATTTTTACTTATTATGTCACCTCTTTGTCTGAATGCAACTATTCAGTATTATTTTTGTATGTTCTGTACAATAGATGTAGATCATCACAAACACACAACACACTAATCTTGAAACTTGTGAAATGGATCATATTTCTAAACATGCAGTGTCAGAAGAAACACACCTATGTCTGCCCCGTTTTTGAAGCAACTGGCAACTGTCCCAAAGGTTCAAAATGCAAGCTTCACCATCCGAAAAACAGAAGGAAGGGAGTGAAAAGGAAAGCTTTGAGCGAGTTAAAGAATGGTCGAGGTCGTTACTTTGGCTCTCCGCACATTGATATTACTGAGTGCATAACAGCTGGATCAGAGAAGCCTTCTGTCAAGGGGAATAATGACATATTCCTTGAAGGGAAGTTTATCGATTTTATTGGCCTAGATGGTAGCGACGAAGAGGAACAGACTATTGATCAGAGAAGTGAGGAAAAGCCACTTTGCGAGAGTGGTCCCGCAGAGATGCAACTGGATGATCTCGATGAGCTTATTAAACCCATGCGTCTGATAAATAGGAATAGGTCTGTAGGTTCATCTCCCTACATAGATAGCCCAAGTGATATGACCACAAGCTATGTATCAGAGTAGCCTCACCAATGTAAATGAGGTTGTGTAATTAGGTTTATGTAGTCTTCTGCTAGTGCAGAGCAATTTTTTTTTCTTTTTATCTTTAGGCTTTTAGTTAATTACTTAGGTATAGGTCTTAGGATTAGGCATATTTTTTGTTTCACAAAATCTGTTGTGTGAGATGGAACAAGAAAACTGTTGTTATAGTGAGAATTAAAGGAAATGAAAATTTCATCCCCTCTATACAAGTCTTTATTGGAAGCTGTTTCACTTCAGTTCTTTAACCTTTCAGTCTTGACAATTTTCAAGTCAATCTGAACTCTTATGGAGTCTTTATCAAGGTGATAATGAACCTGTTGATTCAATCAGCTGGAATTATGTTTATTTTACTTTTGACAGGTAAGCATTCTTTTTTTGGCAGTGATGAATACGCAGATAAAAAGATTGTTTCTAATAGACCCTGGCTCAAAAATGAAATTTTCTAAACAGGTTGTAAGAACTAAGAAGAATATGCCAACAAAATGTGTTCTTGAGAGTATTTTTTCACTGGATACATCTCATTTTTATGCTCAGAGTAATCTCTTTTAAGACAATATGTTCCTCAATAATATTAAGGATAATCTATATTTCTCCACCACCATACAAACTTCTGAACTTCAATTTGTTGGTATTGTCTATATAAGTGAAACGCCCTGTATACTTATGTTTCATGGCTCGGATTCACTAATTAGCTTTTATCTTACTCACTAACCAAACCTTTAAACCTGGTTTAACAGGGTTAAAAACGAAGTAGTTTAAGTACCTCAACGTGAGAGTAGTTTGTAATGAACCTTTATTAAACACAGCCACAGAACAAAAAATATAAGATAAACAAAAAGAAGTCATATGCAAACAAACATTTCCTATCCACACAAAAAGGAGGATATATCAATATCCCAATACCAACCTTCAAATTAAAATACCAACATTCAATAAAAGGCCATAAAAATCACACATAACAAACCACTAGGGAAAAAAGGAGCCAAAAGAAAGGGGGAAACATGGCAGCAACTTCAACATACATGGCTTCAACCCATTTCAGCATGTTAAGTTGGAGCACAAAGGGAAAGAATAAACAACTCAAAAGGAGAAACTTTTTCTCAGTTTCAGCACAGCAAGCAGAAGTTGAAGAGCTAAAAGTAGAAAAAGAAGAAGAAAAGAAAGAAGAAGAAAAACAAGGAGAGGCAATGAAGAAGCCAAGGCCAGTAGAACCACAAATAAATGTGCAGAGCAAGAACATGACCAGAGAACATGGAGGACAATGGCTCAGTAGTGCTACTAGACATGTTAGAATATATGCAGCTTATATTGATCCTGAAACCTTTGCTTTCGATCAAACACAAATGGATAAACTCACACTTCTTCTTGACCCTACTGATGAGTTTGTGTGGACTGATGATACTTGTACCAAAGTCTATTCTTACTTCCAAGAACTTGTTGATCATTATGAGGTAATGAAAACTTCTCTTCAATACAAGCTTAATTATGTAATCACTCTTGTACCAAATGGATTAGAAATAGAGATGCTAACTCCAATATTTTTTACCTGGACCAGGGAGCTCCATTGACGGAGTACACGCTTCGTCTGATAGGTTCAGACATAGAGCACTACATAAGAAAGCTTCTCTATACTGGAGAAATCCAATACAACATGAATGCAAGAGTTCTTAACTTCAGTATGGGGAAACCAAGAGTTGGGTTCAATTACAATGGACAAATGGAAGATGTAAACCAGTAAATTCAGGTAACAATGTTGACTATATTGAAATAATGAGTAGCAAAAAATGAAGTTGTAACAATGTATAAGAAACTTTCACCTTCTCTGTCTGTCTTGAAAACTTTTCCCAAATGGATCATACACAATACAAATGTTATCTACCAGTAATTGAAATATTAATCTTTGGGTTTCTTCTACTAACGGTACAATGATACGACATGAGTTGAGCTTAAATAAGGAAACATGGTCAATGAGGATTCATATAGCTGACCCTAACTTATTTGGGACTGCGGCATAATAATTGTTGTTGGTTTTCTTCCATTGCTTGTTTTTATGGCACACATTGACATTCGGGAATGGGAAAAAGTAACAGCTTCTAAGGAGATCCAGGCAGCGTCTGGAGACATTCTGCATCCTCCCAAGGCTGGAATGCATCTTGCTGAGTTAGATGCTGGAGATATTGAAACAAAATATACTTTTAGTATAAGCCACTAGCTTCTGCAGAACAAGCAATATGAGAAAGATAATGGTGAATGAAAAAATTCATGCTTTTAATTGAGATGAAAGGCAGTAATTATCCGTTGGTCCTTGTTCTCATTCTGTTGGTCAATCTTTGTAACTACTGAAATTCCATTGGTTCAAACCTCATTTATACATCAGAATTTTGACAATAAGATACATGGACGTAGAATTTAGATCTGTCATCCTTGCTGATCCTTGAAAATTTGGAGCCAGAAAAGTACATTTGAGCAAGCCAACTAGTGTCCCATGTTTTTTTTGAGGTCAAAATGCAGTACTTTCATAATTTAGAGGCAAATGACTGATAGGATAATAGCAGCCATTGGTTCGAGAAATCTGAAGATAAGCAAGTGGATTGGTGGGAAAAGTGTATTTTATACTGTGGTTTTCATTCTGGAATGAGTGAGAGGAGATTCACATGCATGGTCACTGCAAGGAGCACGTTAAACACAGACAAGAAAGGAACATTCATTGAAGTCAATATATGGTAGGGAAATAGCCTTCACCTCTAACCAAAAGAAAAATCCACGCATGATGTTCAACTTTTTATCTTTGTCAGGACCGACCCTTTTGATTTCCTGTTTGACACCTGCATTTTTGACAATGAAAATATATTAATAATTTGTTGTTGATATGGTGATCGCATCACTGATTGGATAGAAAGTGGTACAGAAAATAGCAGAAATAAGAACATCAACAGCCAATATGGTAGTTGCAACTAGAGAGTTTGATATTCCCAAGAAATTCAAGTAGACAAGCAATCAAATGGTATTTTTTTCTCTTCTGTAACATAAACTATAGGAAGCTAATTGGGAACCCTATTCTTGTAGTTTAAAGACCACAAAACTTGAAAAAACACCCCAATTAAATTGAAAGGCCTGTAACATAACACAAATGCTAAACAAAGCAGCTTAAAAAAGCTTAAAACTATTCTAAGATTCTATGGAAACCAACCTGAATTACATAAAAGCAAACCCTAATTATGCATCTCTTATGTGCAATCCCGCTACATCCACAGCTCTTAATTATGGATGAACTCTTAATTAAATTTTTATTGCCTTCCTTGATCAATAGAATTTACAAAACAGTGTCTCTATTCCCAACTTCTTACCTTCTCAAGTAGATTTTCCACCTTTATAGTGAGGATTATAACTTATTAATAGAGTAAGATAAATTTTCACATAGAAGACAACAACAACAACAACAACAAACACAACAAGAAGCTTAGTGTAGTCCCATTAGCATCGTTTGGGGAGGGTACAATGTATACAGACCTTACCCCTACCCTGTGGAGGTAGAGAGGTTGTTCTTGAAAGACTCTCGGCTCAAGTAACACACATCATAATAGTTAAAGGAAAACATAAAGAGGACATAAAAATAATAGAGAAAGCATAACATAGCATTCAATAAATAGGAGCGATAACAATAACCAACTAATTTGTTAATTGAAGCACGGTAAATACCGAGTAACAAAAATCATAAGACATGCAACTTACGAGAAAGATGACACTATTGGTATGAACGGGAAACAGGTACAATACATCAAACTACCACCAAGCCTATCCTGTCTGGAAATGAGACAACGCTTAACTACCTACTAACCTTCTAACCTAATCTGTGACCTCCATAACCAAACTATATAAGGTCATGTACTCAGAAAGCTGGAGCTGAGCCATGTCTTGTCTAATCCCAAACAGACCTACCACTACCACTACCTCCAATGTTTGCTAACAGAGAGTAAGATACAAAGATTATTACAGTGAAACTAGCAAATCTACTATTTGTTCTGCTTCTTCTATACATTCCTCTTTACACCAAAAAATAAAAGGAGACAATACATTTCTCTTTGACCTTCTGGACGGAATTTATGTTATTCTCAAAACATCTTCCATTCCTCTCTTTCCATATTGTCCGCCAAATGCGAGCTGAGATCATTCTCCACCATTTTTTCTGACTTTTGCTTCCCCACCCTCCCTCTCCTGATCCAACAACTAAGTAAGTCAGCAGTGTGTTCTCGCATAGTCCAGTTGCTATCTGTGAGTTTCAAAAACAGGGACCAAAGTTGGGTTGTGACTCTGCAATGTAGAAACAGGTCGTTGTCGGTCTCATCTGTCTATTGCAGATAAAACATTTAGAAACAATTTGTCGTCCCTTCTTCTTCAGTACTTCTTGTGTGAGACATGCTATTTTAGCCACCAACCATATAAAACATTTGACCTTGGCTGGTGCCTGACTTGTCCAAACCTGTCTTCATTTAGTCAATCTAGGCCCTTAATGCAGTCCCACTTCCTTCTTATACAGTTTGTTTATAGAGAACCTTCCATCCTCAGTGTGTCTCTAGTTGATTGTATCTACCCTTTGAAGTCATTGAGCACTTGTAGTAGTTTTGCCACTCTACTTATTCCCAATCATTCAAATTCCTCCTAAGGGAAATATCCCACCCATTGGACCAACTTTCTAATATAGTGATATCAAGGTTGCTACAAAAGGAGAACAGACCAGGAAAAGTCTGCATAAGGGTCTCTTGTCCTATCTAGACATCCTTCCTGAAAAATATTACTGTCCATTGCCTACTTTGAGCTTCATGTTCACGACAAGTTTGTTCCAAAGAGATCTAATTGGTCTCCAAATTGAGAGGTATTGTGGCTTCATTGGAGCACCATTCAGTGTCTTGGCCATACTTGCATTGTATAACTTCTTTCCACAAAGCTTGATCTTCCTTCATGTATCTCCATAGCCATTTCATCAAGAGGCATTCATTTTGAATCTTCAGGTTCCTCAATCGTAGTCCCCCTAGTGATTTTGGAAGTTGGACCGTTCGCCAATTCACTAAATAAGACCCCTTCCCTTCCTTGGTGCCAAACCATAGGAATTCTCTTCTCAGCCCATCCAGTTTCTTCGGAACCTTTGCAGGTTGAGGGAAGGACATGACATAGGTTCGGAGGGAATCTAATAATGCATTTATCAATGTGTCTGCCCTAAAGTGAAAGACATTGTGACTTCCAGATGGCTAACTTCTTTTCTGATGTCTGGATTATCCCATCCCATATTAGCAATTCTTTATGTTTACTACCCAATGGCATGCCCAAATAGGTCGTAGGCAGTCTCTCTATGCTGCAGCCTAGAATACTGCAAAATTTTGCATCTGTGCTACCTCCTTGATGGGGGAAAAGACTGCTTTCTTCCAGTTGACCCTTAGCCCAGATACTGCCTCTAGTATCACAAGTATTACCCTGATATATCTTATCTGTTCCTCTTTGGCTTACCAAAAAATCAGAGTCATCAGCATACAAAGGCTAACAAATCTCCATACTCAGGCCTGTTTTGTTGCTGACTTCAAAGTCCATTGTCCATCTATTTGGAGTAGCTACCCTCAACATGTTGTTCATTACTTCCATGACTAAGGCCTCATTTGTTTGCACTTATTGGAGGTTTCAATCTGATGGTTCAGACGTAAGACCATGAATTGCATTTATTTTCAATAATATACAAGTACTTAAGCCTCACTTGTTTGCACTTAGTGGAGGTCTGAATGGTTTAGGCATTAGACAATAAAATGCATTTGTTCACATTAAGATTTATCGTGTAGGGAGTAATAGTTTAGGTTAGTTGTTTGGTGGAAATTTGAGTTTTTGATTATATGGAGAAAGTTGGTATGAAGGAATTGTGTCCTTGTAAAGATAAGGACAGGTATCATCAGCTTGGTAGTGCATTGGAAGGGTGTTTTCATGTCCACGAAGACAATAAAATCTTGTTATTTATAGAGATGGGTAGACTTGCCTATGGTGGTTATATGCATAACCCTAGGCCTACTTGTACTGATGTTGAAGATGGGATTTTATGTAACTCAAGATTTTATAATCTTCATATAAAGCGGGTCAGTTTCAACATCAGTATAAGTACACCTAGGGTTATGCCTATAACCATCATAGGCAAATATAACCTTCTCTATAAATAACAACAAGATTTTATAATCTTCATCCAATGAACACATCCTTCCAATGCGCTACCAAGCTCATGATACTTGTCCCTATGCTGACAAGGACACAATTCTTGCTTACCAACTTTCTCCATATAATCAAACTCAATTTCCAATAAACAACCAACCTATTACTCCCTAGGTTTCCTATTGACGTTTTTTAGTTTGGGCACACCCCTTGAGAAAATTACTATATTAGGAATGAAGTAAAAAAATCTGAACCGAGTGACCTAATGTAGATCTTACCCGAATCTGGAAATTCTGCAATCGTCAGATTCTGGAAGCAAACAGTTGCCAGAATCTGGAAAACCTAGACGGAATGAGGTCTTAATCACTGCAACCAGTGTCGATCTACTCAGAATTGAAGGGTGACCCTGCTGGAAAAAGAATCTCGCCGGCAAACTGATTGAAAGATAGCTTACGCGCTGGCGAGTGAGACAACAGTAGCTAGAATCTGACAGCTCTGAACGGCACGTGGGAGAGCATGAGCTGGCCACTGGTGGCAGAGCTGATTGGGGTTTACTCACGGTGGTGGTCCGAGTCTCGTGGTGGTGTTGGTTTGATCACAACACCTCCGAAATTATAGATCTGTTCAGACAGCCAAGAAAAATAGCTGGGTGGAAAACGTGTCCAGAATTTCTCTTCCAATGTCGGTGGCCTTAACAAGGATCCGACACAATGTGAAACGGAAGAGAAAATAAGAGAGAACTCGGCTTCATTATTCCCTTAAGCTATTTGGGTTTATATAGCCAAGTTTTAATGTCTTAAAAAGGAAGGAAATCAATACCTAATTACAACATCTTTTTTGTCGTTTTCTGGTCATAGAGTAGCAAGCAACTTTAGAGTTTCCAAAACATGCTTTCATATCAAACATCGTGAAAGCATGTCTTTTTTTTATAGGAATGATGAGAGCACATATGTAAAAGACAACTAGTTCGTGTACACAACTTCAGGAGACCTTTTTCTTTTTTCTACATTTCTAGAGCACTCATGAGATTCCTGGTATGATGGACTGTTATCATTGATTGTTCTTTTTAAAGAATGTCATTTTTGTCTACAATTCTTCGTAAGGTATGCACAACACTTATTTCCTTTTTCTTTGCTATCACTTAAACCAAGAAGCCAAGTGAAACAAATAGAATCTGCAAACGGGGTTCCTTCTCTTCCATAGCATACTATAACTCCAAAAGCGCACTAGAAAACTTAATCGAGTCACTTAAAAGGCCATTGAAAACAAGTAGATTTTAAATGCCCAAATGCCCCTACAAGCCAAACACCCAATCTAAATTATAATTTATCTCATATATCTATACTGTGAAATCACTCTGCATAAAAAAGTATGTAGCTTGGATCTAGGATGTCAATTTAGTAATGCTAAATTGGTACCTGTTAGAATAGGAATAGGTTTATACATTCCTATTAGAATAAGAATAGCTTTATACAATCCTATTTAGAATAGGAATAGGAATAGTAAATAGTATCCTACTTGATAAAGAGGATTGTATTCTAGTGTCTATAAATAGGATCTCAATGTAATAATGTAGACACAA